TTACATTCAACTAAAAAACTTCTGCACAGAAAAGGAAATAGTTAACAAAATGAAAAGGCAACCCATAGAATGAGAAAAATATTTGTAATCCATATATCTGATAAGGGTTAATAGCCTAAATAAATAAGGAATTCATACATTTCATCAGCAAAAAAGCAAATAACTTGATTAAAAAGTAGCAAAGGACCACGATAGAAACTTTTAAAAAGAAATTCTAATGTTTAACAAGTATATGAAAAGGTGTTCAACAACACAAATTGCCAGTGAAATGAAATAAAAATCACAATGAGATATTACTTCATTCTTGTTAGGATGGCTATTATCAAAAAGAAAAGATGGGGTGCTTGGGTGGCTCAGTCTATTGAGCTTCTGCCTTCAGCTCAGGTCATGGTCTCAGGGTCCTGGGATAGAGCCCTATGTTGGGCTCCCAGCTCAGTGTGGAGGCTGCTTGTCCTGCTCCCTCTCCCCCCTGCTCGTGTGCTCTCTATTAAATTAATAAATAAAATCTTTATAAAAAAGAAAAAAACAATATAAGTGCTGGTGAGGATGTGGAGAAAAAGGAACACTTGTACTGTTGGTGAGAATATAAATTAATAAGGCCATTATGGAAAACATACAGAAGTTCCTAAAAAAAATTAAAAATATAACTGTCATATGATCCAGCAGTCCCACTTCTGGATATATATCCAAATTAAATGAAATGAGTATCAGGAAGAGATATCTGCACTCTCATGTTCATTGCAGCATTATCACAATAGTCAAAATATGGAAACAGCCTAAATGTCTTCAATAGATGAATGGGTATAGAAAATGTCACACACACACAGACACACACACACACACACACACTGAAATATTCAGTTTTTAAAAAGAAGGAAATCCTGACTTCAATATGGATGTATGACAACATGGATGGAACTGGAGGACATTATGCTAAACAAAATAAGCATGATACAGAAAGAAATATTGTATGATCTTGATGGTGCTTGTTGCTAGGGACTGGGGGAGGCAGAAATGGTATTATGTGGTTCAAAGGGTACAAACTTGCAGTAAGCAAAATGAGTAAGTTCTAGAGATCTAATGTACAACACAGTGATTATAGTTAATGATACTTGAAAATTGCTGAGAAGATAGATCTTAATGTTCTCACCACACACACCATAAAGATAATTATGTGAGGTAGTGGATCTGTTAACTAACTTAATGGTATTCCTTTCACAATATATAAGTATCAATTCATCATGTTGTATACCTTAGACTTACATGATATTATATGTCAATTACATCTTAATAAAAAACCAAAAAGACAAAATAACTTATATATCATATACATCATGTATATATGTATATATATACACACACCATTTTTATGTCAATGATATATCAATAAAGCTGTTTAAAAACTGAAGAAAGAATTCATCACAAGCAGATCCATATTACAAGAAAGGAAGTTCTTTTTCAGGTAGTAGCAAAATTATAAGGGATGGAAACATGATTTACAAAAAAGAAATACGGGAAGGCAGTGAAAACATATGAGGGTAAATATATAACATATTTTTCTTATATTTTAAATTTCTTCTACTAATTATTAAACAAAATAACTATGGAGTATGCAATTTATGACATATGTAGAAATAAAATATGTGATAGCAAAAACACAATATTTGGGATAAAAGAAATGAATACTATTGAAAAGTCTTATACTATTTGTGAAGTGGTATAATATCACTTGAAGGTAGTCTGGGACAGGGTGAAGATATCCTAGAAACCTTAAAGGAATCACTAAAATAACAGAGTTATAGCTAATCAGCCAACAATGGAAATAAAATAGAATCATTGACAATACTCAATTCAAAAGCATACAGAAAATGAGGAGAAAGACAACACAGAATAGTTGGGGCAAATAGAAAACAAATATTAACAATTACTTTAAATGTAAACAGTTTAAATGCTCAAAAGACAGAGATTATTAGACTTGATAGAAGAACAAGTCTCAACTACATGCTACTTACAAAACATGCATTCTAAATATAAAGACACAAATATATTAAAAGTAAAAGACTTACCATGGAAAAAGACTTACCATGCTAACAATAAGAAAAGGAAAGCTGGGATGGTTATATTAATATCAATAGATTTCTGAACTAAGAATAATGCCAGGGATAAAGAAGGTCATTTCATAATGATATAGAGATCAGTTCATTAAGAGGATATAACAATTTCAAATGTTTGTAAATCTAGTAACTGAACTTCAAAGTATATGAAAGAAAAAAAACTGATAGAATTGCAAGACAAAATCAATAAATCCACAATTATAGTTGATTTTAACACCCCTTTCTCAAAAATTGATAGAACAAGTAGACATAAAAGCAACAAAAAGACTGTAACTTAATGCCAGTAATGAAATTTGACCTGAATGACATTTATAAAATACTCTATTCAACAACATCAGAATATAAATTCTTTGTAAGTTCACTCAGAACACTTACCAGGATAGACAATATCCTGACTGTAAAACAAGTCTTAATACCTTTAAAAGGACTCAAGTAGTGCAAAGTATGTTCTTTGACCATTATAGAATTTAATTAAAAATTGATAATAAAAATATGTCTGGAAAATCACTGTAACTTGCAAATTTGTCAACATTTGGGAACTTCTTATTACACAAAGATCAAAGAAGAAAGTAAGTGGAAATTAGAAGGTATTTTGAAATGAATGAGAATCCAACATATCAAATTTGTGGGATGCTACTAAAGCTGTACTTAGGGGGAAATTTACTAAATGCTTATATTAGAAGAGAAAAGGGTATAAAAGCAATTGATCTCAGGCTCCACCTTGAGAGACTAGAGAAAGAAAAGGAAAGGAAACCTAAAGTAGGCAGAAGAAAGTAAACACACATCAGAATGGAAATCAATAAAATAGAAAACAAAACAAAAACCACAGAAAGCCAATTGTTTGAGAGGCTCAATAAACTGATGACTCTCTGGCAAGATTGATTAGGAAACGGATAGAAGACATATCTGACCAGTATCAGTAATTAGAAATGTGACATCACTACAGATACTAAAAGAATAATAAAGGAATATTATGAACAACTTTATGACAATTAATCTGACAAAGTAGTTGAAATGGACAAATTGTGTGAAAGACACATATTATCCAAGAAGAAATAGATAACTGGAATATCATGATATCTATTTTCCAGAAATAAAATTTGTAGATAAAAACCTTCCCCCAAAGAAACTCCAGGCCCAGAATGCTTCACTGATGAATTCTATAAAATATTTAAGAAAAAAGTTACTTCTATATAAACTCATCTAGAAAATGAAAGAGGAGGGGATATATCCCAACTCATTCTATGAGGCAAGCTTTACCTTATGTCAAAGCAAATACATTACAGAAGAAAACTACAGATCAATACTTTTCACAAACACAGATGTAAATATTTGAAACAAAATTTTAACCAATAAAATTCAGTAATATATTAAAAGAAAAAATATTATGATCAAGGGAGGTTTATTTTAAGTGTGTATGGTTGCTTTAACATTAAGAAGAACCATATGATCTTTTCAGTAGATGCATAAAAAGCATTTGACAAAAATCCAATATTCATTCATAATATTCATTGCCACAGTTCAACATTCTAAGTCATGATCCTGTTACTCCTTTGTTTGAAACTTTCCCGTTGCTTCCCATTTCCCATTATAAAAATCAAATTCCTCATCCTGGTGTTCAAGGCTCCCTGTGATCACTCCCCAGTCTTGTTATACCAACTAATGCACTGTTCAGTGGGGCAATGCTATAAAGTGCCTTATATCAACCAGATCCTAGCTTTTTCTGCCTCCTTCACTTTGTTTATGCTGCTCCTTTTCTCTAGGCTGTCGGTTCTCAGCCTTGACTGTGCATTAGAATTACCATGGGATTTAAAAAAAAATACAATGCTCAATTCTACCACTAGAAATTCTGACTCAAAGAGTCTAGGCTAGGGTCAGGACGTTAAAAACCTCTCAGCTGATTCAACTTTGTAGGTACAATTGAGAACTAGTGCATATCCAAAATTTACTTATCTTTCTTATAATTCTACTTAACAACTCCTTCACAAAATCTTCCCAGGTCATCCTCTACTGGGAGAAAATTCTCTAAATGCCTTGATCCTTTATTTGCCTCTCTCAATCCTTTTGCCTGCAGGTCTTCCTGGTCTGAGTGAAAGTTCTTAAAACCATATTCACAACTCTTTTTTTTTTTCTTTGAATTTTTGCTCCAAATAGATCATCATTCTTAACACACTGGTTAGATATTGAATGAATAATTTCATATAGTGCTTTTAGATGATTGAGTGAACACTTAATTATTCACTATAGTTGAATGGTAATAGTGGTTGATTTTAGGAAATCTGACCTAAGGGGAAAACAGTTTCCTTTATGTCTGACCTTTAAACTGGCTAGTAACTCCTTTTAGCCATCTCACACTCTCTGTCGACATGTGTTTATTTCTAATAATTCACAATTCAATCTGTTGTTAAGGCAACAAGAAAAGCAGGATGAAGTAAATGTATAAAGGAGTCATCTCTTTTATTTTAGCTCTAATATCAACTTTCATCCTGACCAATTCTTTTTGCCATAGATACCAACCACCATAAAAATGGATCAATTTTCCTTCTATTTTGAACTCAAGCACCTAGTAGAAGAGAAAAACAGACACTAAATCCATATGAACGATTTGCCAATAACAAAAAATAGAGTTGTCTTTATTTGTAGGGATTATGTAGTGCTGTTTCCTCTGGCATCTTTGAAAAATCAGCATTCCTTGTTTGGTTCCCTAATAAGTTACATTGATTTCTTATCATTGCTCAGAACATAAGAAAGTTATATTTCAATAAACTGCTTAGGGTTTTAGATGAAATCAGGAATGTAATATCAGATTAAAACTTCATTTCCTACTGAAGTAAAGTAGTTCCTATTCCAATAGAAGATGTTAAATAGTTCAAATAGAATATGTACCTGGATCTAGATTGGCCTACTTCTTCAAGAATCATAGAAAAGTGTTTCCAGGCTTTCTCTGCAGGGGGTGAGTGTGAAAGAAGTTTCTTTGTATCGCCAAACAAAGATAGGAAGTAATCTTCTCCTTCCCCAGTTACTGGTATCTCAGGAGCAAGGTATGGCAGAGCCTGTCTCCTTGTCATTATGGAGCTGTTGATTCCTTTCAAAGAAACCAAAGAGGAAAGAAACAAAGAGAAGTAAATAAAAGGACATTAAAAGAACACAAAGCCACTATCTTTGTTCTTTGCTTCTACAAAATTATTTTCTTTGTGCATTTTACTGTCACTTTCAAACTCAATGAGGATAATTAAAAGCTATACACCAAAGTCTATGAAATAACTAGTGATTATTTTTAGTGACACACTGGTACAGGGATAAAGAAAGAAAAATATTCTGTCCCTAGATGTAAGTTGGTATTTTCGCTATAGAGTGTATGGATTTTAGTCATTGCTAAAGGTCACTGTAATCTTAGGAGGCTTCTTCAAATAGTGGATTATAGGCATACAAACAATGAAGCATAGGAAATAATGGCAGCAGATCAAAATCCTACATAACACTGTGTCACAAGTTTAGCAAAATATCAGAAACAAAATGAAATATAGATAACCAACAGTCAGGCTTAAATATCCACGGAGTAATAGAGGAAAATAGAGGCATCAAGTAGTCATGGGTGTGTTTATGCTACCAGTTTTGAAACTTCTTGACTGGTAATTAAGATACAGACCCCAAGTCTAGCCTATTCAATGAGGAGGAGGTGCTTATAGATATATTCATATTCATGACTAATTTTTATTTAGTACTTACTATATGCTAGGTGATTTTCATACATATCTTATTTAATCTTTAGGCCAGCCCTGTGAAGTTGATATTTTAATCCCTATTTTGCACTTGTAGGTGTAATAGGACCCACGGATACCTAGCCTATTATCTCACAGTGTAGAAATATCCTTTAGACAAGTCCTCTGTTTCCAAGACCATGATGTTTTCAGTAAAACATGATAACATTCCCTTGAAGTTCCCTAACATCATGAGGAACACACTGTGGATATTGCTGAATGCATTGCTTACACTGTTGGCAACTGTCAAACCTGAATTTTTCCTATTGTAGTACTGTTTTCATTAATGTTCTATCTTCTTCTCCAAATTCATTAATGTTCTATCTTTCCACCATTTTCTTACCATTTGTTTTGTTTCTTTCTGTTATATGTCTGTTTTTTCCTTACTTAAGCTATAAGTCTCCTAGTGGCACAAATACACAAGACATTGCTTAAATCTTTCTGGTAGTGTTCAGAGGAAGGGGAGTTAATGCTATACATTAGAATTTTTATCTAGCAATTCTAGAGCATCTAAACCATCAACCCATAAACGATTATGACAATTCAAGATATATTAATCATGGAGATGATACATTTGGCCACATACATTTATATGACCTGAATATGACTAAGTGTTAGGATCAATGTTGAGCATAATCAAGTTACTCTGCATATGACATTAAGAAATCTGTGTTATTGGAATTCATTCTGACTTCTAGGCATATAAAGAATCTATTAAACTACATGATTTAAAAATCGTCTTAAAAAAATTGGTACAGGGGTGCCTGGGTGTCTCAGCGGGTTAAAGCCTCTGCCTCCGGCTCAGGTCGTGATCCCAGGGTCCTGGGATCAAGCCCCGCATCAGGCTCTCTGCTCGGCAGGGAGCCTGCTTCCTCCTCCTCTCTCTCTCTCTCTGCCTGCCTCTCCGCCTGCTTGTAATCTCTGTCTGTCAAATAAATGAGTGAAATCTTAAAAAAAAAAAAATTGGTACATGTGTTGCTTACCCAAGCTGTTTTCTGATCTGGAAAGTCCCACTCCTGTAGTTTTAGGAGTCTTCTGCCCAATTGTTGATACAGTTAGTCCACTAAAGTGAGGGCTAGACAGAGTGTAATCAAGAGGCATTTCATAGGATAATGACCATGGAAATGATAGCGTTGTATCTGAATTTGCTGTCGAAAAAAAATGTGCTAAAGATCTCTGTGTCATTAGGAGACTGTCTTGGGTATCTTTTCTTCTGTGTACAAAAATCAGTACAATAAGTAAAGTGAGAAACTAAAAATGAATACACATGAACATAAGAATCATGAATTGTGATTATTACCCAGAGTTCTGCTTTTCAAAGGTATTATGTATCTATATAAGCATAAGGACATCTTATAGTTGTAGTTTTAACAATCTAAATAAGACGCATGAATGTTAAGAAATGCTTTTATTTACTCTTTTAACTAAAAATCAGTCAATCAGGGTGCCTGGGCTTCTCAGCTGATTTAGTATCTGCCTTCGGCTCAGGTCATGATCTTAGGGTCCTGGGATTGAGTCCCATACTGAAGCCTGCTCAGGGGTAGTCTGCCTCTCCTTCTGTGCTCCCTCTCCCTTTGTTTTCTCTTGTGCTCTCTCTCAAGGAAATTAATAAAATCTTTATTTAAAAAATAAAAATAAAAAATAAATATCAGTCAATTGTTGCTGTAGATGATTTTGAAAAAGTGCAAAAGTAGAAAGAAGAAAACAAAAATCACCAAAATGCTACCAACCAAAAATTTTGCCAAAAAAATCACAAAATGCTATCAACCATTTCATTCAGGTTTTTTTTTTAAATGTTATGTTAGTCACCATACATTAAATCATTAGTTTTTAATGTAGTGTTCAATGATTCATTATTTGTGTATAACACCCAGTGCTCATTATAACATATACCCTCCTTAATACCCATCACCCTATTACCTCCTCCCCCCAAACTCCTCCCCTCTGAAACCCTCAGATTGTTTCCCGGGGTCCATAGTCTCTCATGGTTCATCTCCTCCTCTGATTTCTCCCCCTTCAGTTTTCCCTTCATTCCCCTAATGTCTTCCATGCTATTCCTTAAGTTCCACATATGAGTGAAATGATGTGATAATTGACTTATTTCACTTAGCATAATCTCCTCCAGTTCCATCCATATCAATGCAAATGGTGGGTATTCATCCCTTCTAATGGTTGTATATATGAACCATTGTATATATGAACCACATCTTCTTTATTCATTCATCCAGTGAAGAACATCTTGGCTTCTTCCACAGTTTGGCTATTTGGACATTGCTGCTATGAACGTTGGGGCACAGGTGCCCCTTCTTTTCACTACATCTGTATGTTTGGGGTAAATACTCAGTAGTGCAATTACTGGGCCATAGTGTAGCTCTATTTTTAATTTTTTGCGGAAACTCCATACTGTTTTCCAGAGTGGCTGTACTGGTTTGCATTGCCACCAACAGTGTAAGAAAGTTCCCCTTTCTCCATATCCTCGCCAACATTTGTTGTTTCCTGCCTTGTTAATTTTAGCCATTCTAACTGGTGTGAGGTGGTATCTCATTGTGGTTTTAATTTTAATTTCCCTGATGAAAATTGACATGGAACATTTTCTCACGTGTCTGTTCGCCATTTAGATGTCTTCTTTGGACAAGCATCTGTTCATATCTTCTGTCCATCTTTTTTTTTTTTTTTAGATTTAAAGTTTTTTTTTAAATTTTTTATTTTTTTATAAACATATAATGTATTTTTATCCTCAGGCGTACAGGTCTGTAATCGCCAGGTTTACACACTTCATAGCACTCACCATAGCACATACCTTCCCCAGTGTCCATAACCCCACCACCCTCTCCCTCCCTACCCCCAGCAACCCTCAGTTTGTTTTGTGAGATTAAGAGTCTCTTATGGTTTGTCTCTCTCCCGTTCCCATCTTGTTTCATTTATTCCTTTCCTACCTCCTAAGTCCCCCACATTGCTTCTCTACTTCCTCATATCAGGGAGATGGTATGACAGTTATCTTTCTCTGATTGACTTATTTCGCTCAGCATAATACCCTCTAGTTCTATCCACATAGTCGCAAATGGCAAGATTTCATTTCTTTTGATGGCTGCATAGTATTCCATTGTATATGTATACCACCTCTTCTTTATCCATTCATCTGTTGAAGGACATCTAGGTTCTTTCCATAGTTTGGCTATTGTGGACATTGCTGCTATAAACATTCGGGTTCACGTGCCCCTTCAGATCACTACCTTTGTATCTTTAGGGTAAATACCCAGTAGTGCAATTGCTGGGTCATAGGGTAGCTCTATTTTCAGTTTTTTGAGGAACTTCCATGATGTTTTCCAGAGTGGTTGCACCAGCTTGCATTCCCACCAACAGTGTAGGAGGGTTCCCTTTTCTCCGCATCCTCGCCAGCATCTGTCATTTCCTGACTTGTTAATTTTAGCCATTCTGACTGGTGTGAGGTGATATCTCATTGTGGTTTTGATTTGTATTTCCCTGATGCCGAGTGATTTGGAACACTTTTTCATGTGTCTGTTGGCCATCTGGATGTCTTCTTTGCAGAAATGTCTGTTCATGTCCTCTGCCCATTTCTTGATTGGATTCTTTGTTCTTTGGATGTCTTCTGTCCATTTTTTAACTGGATTATTTGTTTTTTGGGTGTTGAGTTTGACAAGTTCTTTATAGATCTTGGATACCAGCCCTTTATCTGTAATGTCATTTGTGAATATCTCCTCTCACTCCGTGGGTTATCTCTTTGTTTTGTTGACTATTTCTTTTGCTGTGAAGAAGCTTTTTATCTTGATGAAGTACCAAAAGTTCATTTTTGCTTTTGTTTCCCTTGCTTTTGGAAATGTGTCATGAAAGAAGTTGCCATGGCAGAGGTCAAAGAGGTTACTGCCTATGTTCTCCTCTAGGATTTTGATGGATTCCAGTCTCACATTGAGGTCTCTCATCCATTTTAAGTTTATCTTTTTGTATGGTGTAAGTGGATGGTCCATTGTCACTCCTCTGCCTGTGGCTGTTCAATTTTCCCAGCACCCATTATTGAAGAGACTGTCCTTTACTTTTCTTTTTTTTTTTTTTAATTTTTAAAGATTTTATTCATTTACTTGACAGAGAGAGGGAATGCAAGCAAGGGGAGACTAAGAGGGAGAAGCAGGCTTCCCGCCGAGTAGGGAGCCCAATGTAGGGCTTGATCCCAGGACTCTGGGATCATGACCTGAGCTGAAGGCAGACACTTAATGACTGAGCCATCCAGGTGCCCTGAGACTGTCTTTTTTCCATTGGATATTCTTTCCTGCTTTGTCAAAGATTAGTTGACCATAGAGTCAAGTGTTGATTTCTGGGCTCTCTATTCTGTCCCATTGTTCTGTGTCTGTTTTTGTGCCAGTACCATGCTGTCTTGTAATATAGCTTGAAGTCAAGCATTGTGATGCCCCCAACTTTGGTTTTCTTTTTCAACATCCCCCTGGCTATTTGGGGTCTTTTCTTGTTCCATACAAATTTTAGGATTGTTTGTTCCAGCTCTGTGAAAAATGTTGATGGTATTTTGATAGGGATTGCTTTGAAAGTGTAGATTTCTCTGGGAAGCATAAACATTTTAGCAATGTTTATTCTTCCAATCCATGAGCATGGAATGTTTTTCCATCTCTTTGTGTCTTCTTCAATTTCTTTCATAAAAAGTTCTAGAGTACAGATCCATTACGTCTTCGGTTAGGTTTATTCCAGGATATCTTATGGTTTTTGGTCCTATTGTAAATGAAATCAATTCCTTAATTTTTCTTTCTACAGTTACATTGTTAGTGGATAAGAAAGCAACTGATTCCCGTGCATTGATTTTGTATTCTGCCACATTACTGAATTGCTGTATGAGTTCTAGTAATTTTGGAGTAGAGTCTTTTGGGTTTTCCACATAAAGTATCATGTCATCTGTGAGGGAGAGAGTTTGACTTCTTCTTTGCCAATTTGGATTCCTTTTATTTCCTTTTGTTCTCTGATGGTTGATGCTAGGACTTCTAGTACTATATTGAACAATAGTGGTGAGAGTGGGGATTTCTGTCATGTTCCTGACCTTAAGGGAAAAGCTCTCAGCTTTTCCCCATTGCGAATGATATTTGCTGTGGGCTTTTCATAGATGGTTTTTATGAAATTGAGGTATATTCCCTTTATCCCTATACGCTAAAGAGTTTTAATCAATAAAGGATGCAGTATTTTGTCTAATGCTTTTTCTGTATCAATTGAGAGGATCATATGGTTCTTGTCTTTTTCTTTTTTTAATGTGCTCTATCATGTTGATTGATTTACAAATGGTGAACCACGCTTGTATCCCAGGAACAAATCCCACCTGGTTGTGATGGATAATCCTTTTAATGTACTGTTGGAGTCTATAAGCTAGGATCTTATTATTTTGTACCCATCTAATCATCAGGGATATTTGCCTGTAATTCTCCTTTTTATGGTGTCTTTGCCTGGTTTTGGAATTAGGGTAATGCTGGCCTCATAGAATGAGTTTGGAAGTTTCCCTTCTGTTTCTATCTTTTGAAACAGCTTCAGAAAAATAGGTATTATTTCTTCCTTAAGTGTTTGATAGAATTCCCCTGGGAAGCCTTCTGGCCCTGGACTCTTGTTTTTAGGGAGGTGTTTTTTTTTTTTTTCTTTTTTAACTGCTTCTGTTCCATTCTCTTTATTGGCCTATTCAGATTGTCTATTTCTTCCTGTTTCAGTCTTGATAGTTTATAAGTTTCCAGAAAGGAATCTATTTCTTCCAGGTTGCTTAATTTGTTGGCATATAGTTACTGATAATTTCTAATAATTGTTTCTATTTCCTTGGTGTTAGTCATGATCTCTCCCCTTTCATTCATGATTTTATTAACTTGGGTCCTTTCTCTTCTCTTTTTAGTAAGTCTTTCCAGAATTTTATCTTATTCTTTCAAAGAAGCAGCTTATAGTTTCATTGATCTTTTCTACTGTTTTTCTGATTTATATTTCATTGCTCTCTGCTCTAATCTTTATTATTTCTCTTCTCCTGCTTGGTTTAGGTTTTATTTGCTATTCTTTCTCCAAGTCCTTTAGGCATAAGGTTAGCTTGTGCATTCTGGATTTTTCTACTTTTTTGAGTGAGGCTTGGATGGCTATGTATTTCTCCCTTAGGACTGCCTTTCCAGTAACCGATAGGTATTGGATCAATGTGTTTTCATTCTAATTGGTTTCCATAAATTATTTAAGTTCTTTTTTAATTTCCTGGTTGACCCAAACATTCTTCAGCAGGATGGTCTTTAACTTCTATGTGTTTGAATTCCTTCCAATTTTTTTCTTATGATTGAGTTCCAGTTTCAAAGCACTGTGGTCTGAAAATACGCAAGAAATAATTTCAGTCTTTTAGTATTGGTTGAGACCTGATTTGTGACACAATATATGGTCTATTCCAGAGAAAGTTCCATGTGCATTTGGGAAGAATGAGTATTCTGTTGTTTAGGGTGGAATGTTCTGTATGTATCCATGAGGTCCATCTGGTCCAATGTGTCATTCAGAGCTCTTGTTTCTTTGTTGATCTTCTGCTTAGATGAATCTGTCTATTGCTGAGAGTGGAGTGTTAAGACATCCTACTATTAAAGTATTATTATCAATATGATTCTTTATTTTGGTTAATAGTTGGCTTATGTATTTGGCCGTTCCCATGTTGGGGGATAGATATTTACAACTGTTAGATCTTGTGGGACAGACCCTTTAAGTGTGATATACTGTCCCTCTACATCTTTTACTACAGTCTTTAGCTTAAAATCTAATTTTTGTGATATGAGAATTGCTATCCCAGCTTTATTTTGAGGTTCATTGGATAAGGTGTTCTCCATCCCTTGACTTTCAACCAGAAGTATCTTTATATTCAAAATGAGTCTCTTGTAGACAACATATAGATGGGTCATGTATTTTATCTAATCTGCAACGCTGTGATATTCCTCCCTCCATATGTAAGAAATCTCTTCCCCCAGCTGCTCTCAGAATAGCTTCATTGGGCCTAAGATTTGCAGGTTTTACTCCCTATAAGCTGGGATGTTTTTCTGTTCTTACTGATCTCAGGAGGGGTCCTCTCTGCCTCTTGGACACAAATGCTTGCTTCCTTCCCCAGATTATGGATGTTCTCAGCTACAATTTGTTCAAATATGCCTTCTAGTCCTTTCTCTCTCTCCAGCTCCTCAGGGATCCCAATAATTCTGATAATTGGAATGTTTCATGACATCATTGATCTCTTTAAGTCTATTCTCCTATGCTTCTAGTTGTTTATCCTAGGCCTCCTCAGCTTCCTTCCTTTCTATCATCTTATCTTCTAGCTCACTAATTCATTCTTCTGCCTCATTACACTGGCTGTCAGGATATACAGTTTAGACTGCATCTCATTCATAGTATTTTTAAGTTTGGCCTGATTAGATCTCATTTCTGCCCTTAGAGATTCTATATTGTCACTAATATTTTTCTTAAGCCTGGATATTGACTTCATATTTGCTACTCTGAAGTCTATCTCTGACATCTTGCTTTTATCCATAACCATTAGGTCTGTGACAGAGGCCACAGTCTCTTTTTTCTTTGTTGGAGTTTCCTCCTCCTACTAACTATGTCGAGGGGTGGTTGAGGGAATACACAGAGTTCAAAGTATTAACCATGATGTAAGCAAGATGCACCCATTTTATGAGGACTCTAGTGTTGTCTTCCTCTTGTTCTTCCACTCTGTCTTCTGGGGGAAGGGCCTGCCATGCTATTACTCAGGCAACCCTACTTGGGGAGAGATGCCCTGCCCCCGTCCAGGGGTTGGGCTTGATGGAAACCATTTTTTTTGAGCTTTTGTTCTCTGGTGGCTTTCTGCATCTCTTCTGAGAGCCAGAGCAAAAATAGTCACACTCAAAACTCTGTCCAAGAGGAGACAAATCATAATCTGCTCTTCACTGAGCCCTCCAAGATACAGTCTCTGCTTCTGTAGATGCTGCTAAAAAAGGCAGACTCCTGTAGTGGTTTGTGCCCACAGCAGATCTCCCAGAGGTCAACCCCAGGGTCGGGGCATGTCTCTGCCTTTTGGGCTTCTAAAACTGTGAGTGGTCTAGGTTCATGTGTGTGCCCCTGCAGTTCCTGGATCCTGTGTGGGGCCTGCTCTAAAACCCTTTCTTGGGTGCTACCTCTCTGAAAATTTGTGCCTGGTTTCCATTGCAGGATGCTCTTTTGCTTCAGTGTTATATCACTTTCGAGGTACCAGCTTATGACAGCTCCTTCCCCCTTCTGTTTATCCTCTGATATCTGCCTGTAGATTCACGACTCCATCCTTCACACCTTGAAACCTGCAGAGATTTTCTGGTTGTAGAGATCCAGATATATATTCTTACCTCTCAGGCTGATTTCTTGGGTGTTCAGAATGATTTGGTAGATAGATAGCTAAATTCAGGGGACCAGCTGAAATAGGGTCACTTACTCCTCCACCATCTTGCCTCCTCCACTCCATTCCAGTGTTTCTAACATTTTTTTAAACTCAAAATTGAGACTCTAGAAACCATTTATATACCACTTTTATTACTTACTCTATATTTCCCTTTCCATTAACTAAAAAAATGGTTATAGTTCCTGCTTAATATATTATTGTTTAGTAAACTTTTTCCTTTAATTCCTGCTAACTGATTTTCCTATATTTATAAAAATTCTAGTTAATGTCTACTTTCAAATATATTCTGAAAATTAATTACTTTGAATACAGTATACATGTATATCTGTCTGTACATGTGTATACGTGTGTGTGTATGTGTGTATATGTATGTTGAGGGGAATATAGAAAAGGAAGAAAACAGGCTTAATTTCCAGGTATTATTTTTATAATTAAATCTTCCTACGAACACAGGTTTTTCTTTCTTTCTTTTTTAAAAACATAAAAATATCTGTTAACTAGCGTGCATTTAAACAAAGCCTCTAAACTACAACACAATTATTTTACAAGTAACATAATATTCCCATGGCTTGGCTCATGAAAAGATTTACGACAACTCCATTTTATGAGTCACATTGAGACTTAGTCCCCTTAAAGCAATCTGTGTGTATGTGTATGTATATGTGTGTTTAACACTTGAATTGTGAACAAAGTCCTGGGGTCCAAAATCCTCTAGCTTTTTGAAAAACTGGATAAATGGCCAGTTCATGCACCCCGTTATTTTGGGCCACTTATTTATCCTCTGTAAGTCAAGAGCTAAGAATTTTGCATCCATGGCTTATTTCTATTTTGGTTCTTTATTTTACTGAGTTACTGTAAAGATATTTTAGCAAGTCTTCTGCTTTGTTGTTTGTTTTTGTTTTCTAAATATTTCTATAAGGAAACAAGGGCCTGAAGTTTCCGAATCTGCCAAAGTGATGTCAGTCTTAATCACTTTGTTTAGTAAGAGGTATTTATAATCATCTTGCTCTACAATTTGTAAATTCCTTCATCAGAAGTATTATATCTGGAGAGCTTTGTACTCAAAACCAGACTTCTCTAAATGTACCTCTCAGAGGGCACAGACATCTCAGGCATTTTTTTTTAATATAAATAAATGGCATTGGCTTGAAAATTGTACTACTAGGCCAGTACATATAAAGCTTGAGCATTAGCCATTCTGCTGACACCCCAAGCACTCATCTTTCTCAGAAAACCTCTAACCCATGAATATATACTCTTGAGTAGGATGTGGTAGTTTGTGGAAAGGAGACTAAGAGGTAGATTGTCAAGTTACAATATTTCATCTCTGTCCAACCTGAGACAGGATCATTTGACATGATTTCTGCCTGACACTAACATAAGCAGGAAATGTACTTTTCTTTTCAAAGTTCCTTACATCTGGGTTTCATTACAAACTGGCTATATCTTTTCAGCATTTTCATTTTAAAAGCTCCAAAGTTTTTTTCTTCCTCCAGTAAAATAATACCATTTCCAAATAATTTAATTCCACAGAAGATTCCTAATAAGCCTTTGCAAATGTTGTGATTAAAGAAATCTGGCTTAGGGCCACAACGTATTCTTATATTTGTGGCTGAATAAGAATTTTTTTTAAGATTTTATTTATTTACTTGACACACAGAGAGAGAGATCACAAGTAGGTAAAGAGGCAGGCGGCAGGGGGTGGGGGCGGGGGGAAGCAAGCTCCCTGCTGAGCAGAGAGCCTGATGTGGGGCTTGATTGCAGGACCCTGAGATCATGACCTGAGCTGAAGGCAGAGGCTTAACCCACTGAGCCATGCAGGCACCCCTGAAAAAGAAATTTCTAATGGTTGCACACACCTCTGAAAAAGGTGAGACATTTCACAAGAGACACATGTGATGTAGCCCATTGTCTAAACTCTGCACTATCCTGTTAGTATCCTTTTGGAAGATGAGAGATTTGGCCTTGTGCTTAGTCAGCTTGCCCTCTATCATATGGAATTTTGTAAGTCCCTTCTTGCATTTTATTTCCTCTGTAATTGATTAGTACTACACCAGAGGTAGTTATAAAAGTTCAATTCCCACATTTCAGTGTTATTTTCGGAGATGCTACATTGGTAATTCTGACAACAATTATTTCTCAGATGACCTCTAAGAACAAATATTTTAAAAATGAACTTATCAGTAAATACAGGACATGTAGGTGCAAAGTAACTTTAGCTTTAAATAGGGTATATTCAATACTGAGGTCATTTTTAAAAAAAAATTGGAAAACCCATGCTAATGTTTTTATTGATAGAATGATTCGTACTAGTAGTAAAAATAGGGACTTATAGTTTTTGTTTGTTTGTTTGTTTATTTTTTTTTGTTTTTCTTTTTCTTTTTGGGGGTAGCGAGAGAGTTGTAGTTTTTATTCAATATCTTCACAGGCATTTCCAAAAAACACAATTCTCTAGCAATTCTTTGTCCCAAAGGTTAGTAAAAGAATTCTAAAGAAATTGTCTGTCAATTGCCTTAACATGTTAGATATAAGTTCTGAAATCTCAACCATGTCTTATATGACAGAGATCTGTCCAGGTGAATTTTTGCATTATTCAAGAACTAAACTTCATAAAACTGTGGTTGAGAAAATAGTTGTACATTATAATTAATTTTAGAAGATGTTCTAAATCAATGGAATCAACTGGAATCAATTCCAGTTACAGCTACTTAAAATAAGATGTTTTGAAACAAGAGGTCAAGTACTCTATCATTATCCTCTAAATCTCAGATCCTCCTTTCATTTGTGCCATTCTTACTGTGTTTGATTCTTCATTTTATCTTCCTGCTCATGAAGTTCACTCTGCAGGGCCACCGAAGTTTTCTGACTGGCTTGCGTGCCTTTCATTTTGGCTAGGAGAAAATTCTCTTTTCTTTCCTGGGGAAACAAGTCACGATATAGTAATAAATATAGCTGAAGTTCAAGGTAGATTTTTTTTTTTTTCAAGTGACCTCAGCTGTTAATCTAACTACCTCAAACCATCTGCCAGATCTAATAATTTCTTTCCCAAGCTGGTGCCAGAACCAGGTTTCTAAAGTAAGTATGTAAGCACTGACATAGCCAATACTAGTACTGGTTAATCATATTATGCAAATCAAGGTGAAGGTGTGTGGCCTTCACTGGAAGCAGCTCAAGAAACAAGGTGGCAACCCAGCACAGATACCTTTATGACTAGAACCTTCACATCTGGCCAACACTGCCTGTTAGAACACTGTGAGGTAATGTCTCCATGGTTACAAAGTTCCAGTCTCTGAGCAATTATGTTGACACTGCACCTGCTTTGTAGTTTGCAGACATTAAATATGGTAACTTGTTTTTAGGAGAGTCAGACAAATTTTGCCACCAAAATATTCAATAACCTATTTTGGATTTATGAGGCTCAAAGCTAGTATGTAAATATTTGGAGCTTTAGTCACTGTTTTTAATTGTTTGTTTTTTTTGATTTTTGTTTTGTTTTGACAAATGCTCTTTGAACACATGGAAATAGCCAAGCAGCAGGAACAGAAAACTTGTGTACTTTTCAGCAGAAAGAAAGCTATTGGTAGAAGTAGTGTAAATCAAAGTCAGGAGATTTACATTCTTCTAGTTATGCCAGCAGTATGATTTAGAAGAAATCAGTTAGTTCAGATTCTGATCTTGAATAAAAGATTCACTTAAATGTTTTATGGTAATGATGGTATAAGAATAAAATTAACACTGTACACAGTTATAAGATATATTAGCAATATGATTACTGGAGGAGTACATTCATTCATAAATGAACATCTATTCTGTACCAGGAACCAGACAGATACTATGGATAAATAGTTCTTGCTTCAAGGAATAATGATAAAATATCTTCCAATAAGGATTAGAAAATGGCTTCCATCATGGAATGATGAGCATTATTTAATAAAAGGACAATGAACAAAGTAACTGTTTTAATAAGTCAAGAGAAAACGATTTCTTGGGGACCCTGTGAAATAGTGGCATAGGAAGATCCTAAACTCACCTTGTCACACAGATACTCTTAGATAACAACCACATCAATATAACTAACCCAGAAAATGATTGAAGACTGGCATAATAGACTCACTACAGTTAACTGTAGAAAGGAGGCCACATGAGAAAACGGTGAAAGGATGGAGCCCCAGTTGGGAAATAACCTAACTTGAGAGTTTAACCACAAAGACTGGAGGGACACCACAAATAGAGGAAAGGGAGAGGAACAGGTTCCACACCAGGCATCCCAAACATGCAGGACCTACACTGGGAAGATGAGTCTCCATAACATTTGGTTTTGAAAATCAGAGAGCTTAACTTTGTGAGTTTTTTACTTTGTGAGGGTTTTTTTTTTTTTCAGATTTTATTTATTTATTTGACAGACAGAGATCACAAATAGGCAGAGAGGCAGGCAGAGAGAGAGAGAGGAAGGGAAGCAGGCTCCCTGCTGAGCAGAGAGCCCGATGCAGGGCTCAATCCCAGGACCCTGGGATCATGATCTGAGTCGAAGGCAGAGGCTTTAACCCAGCGAGCCACCCAGACGTCCCAACTTTGTGAGTTTTTACAGTCATTGGGGTTTAACACTAGGAACTTTTAAAAATTAGTGGGATCAGCTCCAGGAGGGCCAGAGGATGAGAGAAAATAGTCTCTGCCCTTAAAGAGACAGCACACACATAATTCCTGCCAAGATACAGCATATAAGTAGCAGTTTGAAAAGCACCTGGAGATTTATTTACTAATCTCAAAATGTGTGCTAGAGGGGCAGAAATCTTTAAGAAATTTCTCAAAGAACAAAAGAGCTGGTGGGCACCATTCCCCCATTTATATCTAGCCTAGATACCCAGACATATGTGGGAATCAACATGAACACTTGCTACTTAGCCCAGGTTTCATTCTGCAAGCAGATGGGCACTTACCTTGCTAACACCTGTGTGCTCTACCTCCACATTCTCCTGCACACCGTCCCATTCAACCTGCCTCAATCTTTCCAAAGCTACACCTGATGCATTTTATTCTGCAAGCATCCCTGACAGTGGCTAGCACCACTCCAAAGTGACTCTTGCTCTGGTGAGAAGGGAAGATAATCACACACACACCAGTTCCACTGAAGCCCCAGAAATGGGCTGGGGGGGAAATGTGATGTGACTGCTGGCTCAGCCCACCAACAAAAACCTCATAGGGGGCAGCACAAAGAGAGGGCTCTGTAATTGGGGGCTGGGAGTGGTCACCGCAACCCAAAAAGACAGACTCAGGACAGATATCTGGCCTGATAGCTAGTCTCATTCTAAAAAAAAAAAAAAAGAAAGAAAGAAAAGCCACTCAGGAGACAATGCAGGGACAGTGTCCTGCAGGTCTGCAGGTAGGTGTGGCCACAATTCATAGTTCTGGCAAACAGGATGATAGCAAGCATCTGGTCTGACCCAACTACAAGCCCAAAGTCACCCCAGACTGGCCCTATAATAGTACAGATGCCAAATACTGCTCACAAGAAAGATGGCTTTGCAGCTGACTGGACTGAAGGCAAATGTTGCTCAACCACAATGGAAGTGTGCATGCAACACACATAGGAGACATCTCTGAAGTGACAGGTTCTGGTGAACAAGGAACATTGCACTATGGGGCACAACAGGACCTCTTCTTCATAAGTTTACTACTTTTAAGAGCAGGAGATGTAGTTGGCTTTCTTAATACATAGAAACAAACACAGAGAATTAGACAAAATGAGACAGAGGAATATATCCCAAAGGAAAGATCAGGACAAAATCACAACAAAATGATTTGGAGACGAGCAAGATGCTTCTTAAAGAATTCAAAGTACTAGTCATAAAGATACTAATTGGATGTGAGAAAAGACTGGAGGATCTCAGTGAGACCTTAAACAAAGAGAAAATATAAAAAAAAAGAACCAATCAATGATGTAGAATTCAACTGCTAAAATTAAAAGTACACTGGAGGAAATCAATAGTAGAGCAGAAAAAGCAGAAAAATGAATCAGTGAGCTGGAAGACAGAATAATAGAAAGCAAAGCAACTGAACAACAAAAAGAAAAAAGTACAATAAAAAATGAGAATACATCAAGGAAACTCAGTGACATCATCAAAGATAGTAAAATTCACAAAATAGGGATCCCAGAAATAGAAAATAGAGGGGGGGGGGGCAGAAAATTAATTTGAAGAAATGAGAGCTGAAAACCTCCCTAATCTGGGAAAGGAAATAGACATCCAGATCTAGAGGCACAGAAAACCCAGGGATGTCCAACACTGAGACACATAATATTCACAATGGCAAAAAGTAATGGCAAAGAGAGACTCTTAAAGGCAACAACAAAAAAAGAAAATAGTTGCATACAAGGGAAACCCAATAAAACTTTCTGCTGATTTTTTTTTTTCAGCAGAAATTTTGTAAGCCAGAGGTTTGGCATGATATATTCAAAGTGCTAAAAGGAAAAAGTCTGAAACCAAAAACACTCTATCCAGCAATGCTATCATTTAGAATAGAAGGAGAGATAAAAGTTTCTCAGACAAACAAAACTGGAAGGAGTTCATCACCACTAAATCAGCCATATAAGAAATGTTAAAGGGAATTCTTTGAGTGGAAAGAAATAGCCAAGTGGAAAGAATAAGAAAATTATAAAAGGAAAAAATTTCACAGGTACATGTGAACAATAATACAAGTAGTAGATTAGTTACTTATAAAACCAGTATAGTTAAACCACAGAAACAGTACAGTCATATCTATAAAAATCAGTCAAGGACTAACAAAAATAAAAGATGTAAAGTATGACATCATATATACAAAATGTGGGAGGAGAGAGTAAAAATGTAGTGCTTTTAGAATGGATTCAAACTTAAGCAACCATTATCCTAATAGAGACTGCTATATGTATAGGATATTATATACCAACCTAATGATAATCACAAATAGAAAACTGTAAAAGATATGCAAAGAAGAAAAGAAACAAATCTAAGTGTATCACTAAAGAAAGCAATCAAACCAAAAGGTAAGAGAACAAGAAAATAAAGGAAGGGAGAAGAACTACAAAAACTACCATAAAACAAGCAACAAAATGGCAAAAACTACATACCTATCAGTAATTACATTGAATGTAAATGGACTAAATGCTCACATCAAGACATAGGATGACAGAATAGATTAAAAAAAACAAGCCCCATCTATATGCTGTCTATATGTGACTCAATTCTAACCTAAAGATGCATGCAAATTAAAAGTGTGGGGATGAAAAAACAATTATCAGGGGAGCCTGGGTGGCTCAGTGGGTTAAAGTCTCTGCCTTTGGCTCAGGTCATTATCCCAGGGTCCTGGGATCGAGCCCCGTATTGGGCTTTCTGCTCAGAGGGGAGCCTACTTCCTCCTCTCTCTCTCTGCCTGCCTCTCTGCCTACTTGTGATCTCTGTCAAATAAATAAAATCTTAAAAAAATTATCATTGAAATAGAAATGAAAACAAAACCAAAAATAAACAAATAAAAACAAACAAGTGAAAAGAAACTTGGGGGATATTGACAAAATAGTCTTTAAAACAAAGACTATAACAAGAGACAAAGAAGGATACTACCTAATGATAAAAGGAATAATCCAAAAAGAAAATATAACAATTGTAAATATTTCTGCACCCAACATGGAAGCATCCAGCTACATAAAGCACCCATTAACAGACATAAAGGGAGTAATCTTTAGAAATACAATAATAGTAAAGGACTTTATCACCCCACTTACATCAATGGCTAGATCATCTAGATGGAAAAATCAACAAGGAAAAAGTGGCTTTAAATGACACATGGGACCAAATGGATCTAACAGATATATTCAGAACATTTCATCCAAACACAGAGTAATACACAGTTTTTTTTTTTTTTCAAGTGCACATGGAACATTCTCTAAAATAGACTGCATGTTGGGCCACAAAACAAATCTTAAAAAATTCAAAAAGATTGATATTGTATCATGCATCTTTTCTGATCATAATGATACGAAACTAGAAATCAAACACACACACACTCACACACACACCCACACACACATCTGAAAGAACACAAATACATGGAGGCTAAACAACATGGGGTCCTAGACAATGAATGGGTGAACCAAGAAATCAAAGATGAAATTAAAAAATATATGGAG